GCCATCACGGTGCACTGCACTCGGCCCGAACTCCATCTGCATCCTCAATATAAATTTCCTTTTTGCCGCTCAAACGTTTAACGCTTATTTTACCTTTTTACTTACTTTTTCAACATAGGAAACATGAACACCAAGAGGTAAATACAAATAATACAAATGTCTAATGAGACAATGAGTGCACTTAAATGAATAAAACATAAAAACAAAATTCTGGTCAATATAGTGAAGTGTAATTTATTTTTTGTTGCATTTCAATGTTTGCATCTAGTTAATATGACAAAAAAAGCGTATGCCGGGAGCAAATCATGCTCGCTGGCGTGCAGAAAACGCGGAAAACGCAGGACTCGGGAGCTGAATATACGAGTAATTTATGCCTACAGACGGTTCGATCCGGTTGTGCTCACGCTCTTCTAGTTTCAATAACCTATTTTTAAAACTCCATTAGCGCAATCGCTTTGAGGTTTTTGAACAATGTCCCAATATTTGAGTACATCTACAACATCCGCAACTATATTGACGCAGATTTTAATATAAATAGCCTAACTAATTACTTTCTTGTTTCCTGCGTCTTTTACCTGCTGAATTTATCCATTAAATTCTCAATTTTTATTTAAAGAAATGAGAAATGCTAAAAATGCACTTCAGCGCCATCTAGATTCAAATTTATACTAAAACTATGATATAATCTTCATATTAACTTTCAACCCTTATTTTTTATCCTCCTTGTTATTTTTTACAATAAAAAGTTGCCTATTTGCTTCTCGTTGGTCTAAAATATCTATATACTAAAATTTATCAAAATGGCTTCAGCGGTTTTTGCATAAAAGCGTCACAAACAAACAAATAAACCACATTCGTATATATAATATTATTTTTGGATGTTTTTCTGTTATTTTACTTTCGATAACTCAGAAAGTTTAGATTTTTTCTTTGTGTCATTCCGACCGGATGCGCATTACATATTCAACAGGTTATCTACGAAAGTGGCATCATAATTTCCGTATATTTTATCTGTGCACGTGAATTCCGACTTCGCGCTGCACGTCTTTTCTATAATTCACTTCCTTGGCTTTGCTTTACTATCTCACTGCACTCGAGCACTTACTTTTTCATCTTTACATTTACACTCTGTTAATCTCACAAATAATAATTTCTATAATATCGAAATTAGTGAAACGTGGAGAATAATTATCTTAAACTTTAGATCCCCGATGAAAGGTGCATAGTATACGAGTTTACAGTTTCAATTTAGCCTAAACTATATTATCGGCCGAGGATCTCAGAGGTGGGATCCACGTTACCTTTACACCTTTGCTTTACTTTGCATTACCGGAACATCAAGGGTTGCCGCGGTAATACCGAAACTTGCCTTCAGCATAATCGTTTGTTGAAAGGATAGATGACTACGAGTATAAGGACACAGTGGACATTAGACAAGGTGTACAAACAGGCACGTGTAATATTACAAACAAAGAACCACGCCGCGTTTAATTATGGAATGCTATCGTTAAATGTTGCAACAATAAGCCACAGTGCGTAACTACACACAACAAGTTTCCAATTAATTGATATAATATGAGGGACGGCATGGCTCATGAACATTCATCATCAGATTCGTGGGTTCAGCTTTGGTCTGGAGTTGTAGTCGGAAACAAAAGGGATATTAACCGTCCAGAAAGGGAGCAACTGAGCAAGCAAGCTGAAGGCGAACAAGAAAATCTGGCGTTACATGTTTGCACATTCTCGCAGGTTCGCACGCTGAATGGTGAATGCCTTGAATAGTCGACCTGGATGTGTGTGTGTGTGTGTTTGTGATCCACGGAAACCATGCTCGTGCTCGTCTTGCTACAGTCACACTGTCTTCTCTTTCTCGGCGCTGCTTCGTCTCTGGCAGCAGCAAAGGGAACAAACTTGAAATTACACTCGTGGTGTGCTTTATGCATGGCTTGGTAGTGCGTATCCTTGTATCAGTCGTGGATGTGCACACATCGTTCTCACCCTCGCTATTAATACCTTATCCAATTGCTAGTTAATTAATGCGTGAGTATGATAATATATCATGCAGTAAAGGGCAGAGTTTGAGTGGCTGAGTGGTCGATATGTGATGTGCGTGTAAACCTTGAATGGCTTTGTGCTGATAACAATGGCTGTATAAATAGGTCTTGTTTTTAATCTAATTAGTGCGCTAATTAATGTCCAATTGCAAGTGGTGGTGATATTTCAATTTCCGGGTCATGATTACTTTGTTTTTTACTTGTTTTTGTTTAGGTAATCTCCTAGAAGCGATCATTTTGGGTTTATTTTAATCTGGCTTAGAGGAATATGATTAGAATTATATAGGTTACGTAAAATACCTAACATAACCTAAATTGAGACCAACCAAGTCGTTAAATAGTCAAAAATTCGCTAAAAACCCACAAAAGTATCGAAAATTTTCCAAAAAACTTTTATTTTGAGTATTTTTTGAATGCAGATTAAATATTGGCTAATACTAAACCCAAACCTAACCTAATTTAACCTAAAAATTTAATGTTTGCTTTGTTTCTATGTCATTGTTCCATCCAGATACAAATGCAGTGGATAATTAGAGACCGTCGCTCATTACGCGTTTGTGATGCATCTCATGCGTAAAATGCGCCGCAAAATGTTCCTGGACGTTGGATACGCCGTAAAATGAAGCGTGTGAGTTACAGCGCACCGCACTTTGAGCAGCGCAACGCTAACTCTTTCCTGCTGATAGTCCTGATGTATTATAATCTTTCATGTCGCGCATGGAGTTTTGCATGTGCACACACACAGCGATACACTACATCCTTTGGCGGTGTCATTATAAGAGTATTATGTTGCACTTGCCGCTCCCCGAGGCGGTCTCAGTCACACTGCTCGCCTTCAGCTTCACTTTGGATACTCATATGCGAGCACGGAGCGAGAATGTCGCGCATGATTATTAAAGAAATACAACCAGAGGAAATGTGCGCATATCAAAGCGCAGTTGTCTTTGAATGTAATAAACGTGCGACTGGCAGCAGGGAATAAATCATGCTCGTTTGGGGGGTGCATTATTATGCGCGAAGATGGGAGCGAGGCGAAAGAATAAAAGGCGAAAAATACAGTTGTGCGATGCGCGCCCGGAGGAGGATGTCGAGAAAATGGGCGAAGTTTCGAACGCTTATATCTCGCGTCTTTTGTTGCCGGGCGCACTGGAGCAACGCTGTACATGCCGTACAATGAGCGTGCGATGAGTAAAAAAAGCGGCGACGGTAACGAAAGCGATGCAATTGAATCGCGACGACGCTCTGTCGAATGGCGAACGTTCGAAAAGCGTAAAATCTTGAATTATCGCTACACTTGTCGCGACATCGAACGATCAACTTTATCTACTGTTATCTAGCGAAAAAGTTTAGCTTCTCAAAAGGGCTTGAATGGAGATTTAATTTTAATCATATAACATTTCTAGAGATGCATCCAATAGGCAAATATTCGGCTGCTTTTATTGCCGGTGAATAATTGGCAATTAAACTGCAAAAAACACCGAAAATTTTGATAATTTGGTGATGAAAATATTGTGATAATTTATTAATTTTGAAAAATACAAACCCAGAGGGGTTTAAGATTTGCTGATGAAAGTGCTAATGAGCCGAAACAGTTTGAAATTCTGCAAAATAAGATAAAAATTGTCAGAAATCGTCAAAAAAAAACTGGAAGTTGAAATTTTTCAGGTCGAATTTTTGGCTTTTTGGTCAAATTCATAAGCCAAATTCAAATCAATTAAAATAACATAATTTATGAAAATATTTCATGTTTTTTCAATAATTTAATCCACTTTACTCTAAACAAATAATTATCTCATTGTGTAAATTCAAATTTTATAATTTTATGATTTAGTAATACTAAATCCCTGCTCGCATCACGCATACAAATGTCGACGATAACCCATGATGCACTAAGCGGATCATCCTGCACCACTGCCACCACCACGATCAGATTTCCATCTTTTATAACATGCAATGTTGCAGTGACATGCGAACCCACCGCCCGCCTGAATCTCGGGTCACGAATACCTACAGAGATACTCGTGTGGTGGATTTGCCTCAGCAGATTTGTCAACACGTAAGCATCGCGAACGTAATGTGATAAAGCGGTTTGTGATTTTCGCCCTTAATCACGGCGCACATTTCGCACGTCCTGCTGGATCGATGCATCGATTAAACGGCTTGTAAATTCACCATTCATCATATCTGCGCGGCCTTATGGGCTCACGGTGCTGCGGACGCACAAATAGCGAAATGGAGAGAACAATCCAGGGATACACAACAATTTATGTTTTGTTTACTTTGCGCATGCGCACGACGAATCTTCCGCTTTATTGCCGGTCATAAACATTGTGTTATTCGTTATTGCCAACATGCTAATGTAGACACAACTACAAAACACTTATTCAATCACGGTGCGACGCGTACAACAATGTTTGATTGGCAATTTGGCGGCGCAAACTAGTGCGAGTACTATCAAGATCTACTACTAGACATATTTTAATATACGGGGTGTTGATGAAAGCTTTTATCATTTGCAGTTGATTTTGTTTGAAGTAACTCATCAGAAAGAATGATATGTAGTTATGTTTAGTCAGCAAAAACAGATGTGAGAATCATGTCGGTTGATTCAACCATGATGAATTGTCCATTGTCTTGAGACCCTTGATGCTTTCGAAGAGCATATTGTATTCGTCGTCCTGCCAACACTTTTTGCAGCAGACAATTATTCGAGATGTTTGTGAAGACGCGTCGCGCACAAAAGGGGAGCAACGCAACACATTGCGAACGCAAGCGTAGAAAGACGGAAAATAGTTTAAGTGACTGATTGAATGGCACCCGGGATAATAGACTATTAAGCGCAAGACGAATGTGCGCGGTCTGCGTGTTATCTACATCGTTAAAATATACGAGTATAGTTATGTTTCGTTGGTTTTAGGGACCAAAAAGTGAAAAAAAAGTCAACAATCAGCAAAAATATAAAGATTTACTCTTACAGATCACATTTCCGCGGTCCATGGACAACAATAACGCGATTGATCTGTGCACGCAGAGAAAGCAAGCCGACAACTTCAATCTGAAACTCAAAAGAATATCATAACGTGGGGAATCGACGTGTTAGCATGACAGAAGTTCAATGGGCCCGAGAGGAAAGAAGAAGAGGAGAAGAGTTGAAAACATCTGGGCCCCAGGCGAGCATCCAGATGTCCGTGTCCATGACAAGTGCCGGGGTTGCATTTTAGTCGTTTCTACGTTCGTCAAGTTCGTTGCGCACGTCCAAGTCAAACTTTGAGGTTCGACTTTGACTCCGAGTCTCCGACTTCGGCCCAATTTCACCGATTGCTTTTCTTAGATTTTTCAAAGAACTATTCTGTAACATACCATTAGGATATTTACAAATCAGTTAAATTTTATAATGATTTCTACACTTCCTATAGAATTCCCGGGAAAGAAAAAGTATGGGATAAGAGCTCCCAAAGGGAATATTAATAAAAGTCCCACTTTACAAGCTGATCTATCAATCCGCACTTGCTTGGGGCTAGACAAGTGCGAGACAAGTTGGATTGTATGCCATTCCGAGCCGCTCGACGCTTTTTGTAAATTGCCAGCCGTCCTGGATAGTTGTAGAAGGTGTTATCCCTATAGAGCCAAGCGGGGTAGTTTTTTGGGGGCTTTAGTAGCCTTCCGGATGCATTTCACCTCGTAACCATCTGCATTACCATTTACCACTTGAACCTTCGTATTATTTCAATGTCCGGCCGTTCGTTGCACCCTTTGAGGGAGAATGTATTGTTCGGATCAAGTGTTTTCCGGGCACGTGTTCCATTTCGATATTACGCCTCTCCCGATGGTTACTTTTTGCGGAATAATATGCGTAGCTTACGTTAAATATCCCATCGCTGTGGCTTGACACGTAGCAGAGTGCCTGGGTGAAAATGGCTACGCGGTAATAAATGTGTCGTAGGTCTTGGGTTTGATGGCGGTGAATAAAATCACATCCCTCGTCACGTTTTATAGTTTCACACCAAAGACACTCGCTTAGTGATTTTGATCAAAAACTCGATTTTAATTATTTTTGCTTAAAACAAGTGATCACAATCAGAAAGTGTTTAATCTTCCGTATCAGTGCACAATGCCGAGGGATTCGTTGGTTCTTGGCCGAACACGACAAACAGTTTCCAATTAATTCGTCTTTTTGTCTGCGCGTTCGCATGATTGCCTACGCAGAAAACGATTCGATTAAACATTAATCATGGTGATTCGTGTGATATTTATTATTGAAATAAAATTGAATTAAATTTGTAAATACTTAGGTTAAGCATGTTGATGTTTTGCTGGTTGTTGCAGTTGGTAGCATTTCTGCGCTGGTTCCCGTCGCCGGGCTGCGCTCGTGTTGTGTGTTCTGCGCGCAGAAAGATGTTTCGGGCGTGCATCCTGCTCTCGCGCGCGGCGGGCACGACGCCGGCGGTGATCAATAGAGAGAAGTCTTCTCCGCGCGCTCTGCTCGCCGCCGGCCGCGGCGTAGTCGACGATCGCGCTCCGTACGCTGCGCCACCCGTGCACAACCTAACCGCACACGCATCCCGCACGCTCTCGCTCGCCCGTCGCGACCGAACGAACATCCAGTGCCCTCCTGCCCTCGAACGGAACATCAACGCTAAAGTTAGCCCGAGTGTTTGCGCTCACAAGACCCGCGCATCATCATCAGCAACCCTGTAAGTAATACATACTAAACTTTTTTTTCATCCTCTCTTTCATCATAAACACAATATACATAAACCGGATATTAGTTTGTATTTTAATCGAACGCAGCGCAAATGTGTATTTTGTGAATTGTTTCGCAAGTTGCAAAAGTGTACTCGGAGTTTAAATTTAGTTCTTCGTTTATTTCGGTCGACTGGAAAGTTTATTGTTCACTTCTTGAAGCTTCAGCGGCATCAGCGGCGTGATCATGCATTGCCTTGCGCTTGTCGCTCGACGCTCGACTAATGGAGGGCTACAAAAACAATGAACGAAATCGAATGAATTGGCAGGCGGCCAGCGGGCGAGATGCGATTGCTCTGCGGGCTTCCTTTGGCGTTCGTTTAGGCAAACAAACATGCCGAAGCGACAGAAACATTGACACAGAAAAACAAGAAATATTTAACGTTAACGGCCGCCCGTTCATCTTTCTAAGCTTCCTCCACGCCAACGAAAGCAAAAGAAGCGTAGTTGATGTACGCAAAGTGCGTGCGTGTGTTTTTCTTCTTGCGTTCCTCTTGCAAATTTTCATTTTGCGAAACAACACGAAAGGGAAATACGCACATAAATAAAGCGCCTAAATTTATTTTATGACTTTGTCTTTCCTGTCTGCGTCGCGCGACTTGTTATGAGTTGCCGTGTTTAATAAAGCGTTCGACAGGGTGTGAGAGAGCTCAAAGTCAAAGTCGAATAAATTGTATTTACGGCGAAATTAGCGTTTGCATTTGAAGCAGCTGTATAATAGGCTTTTACGAAATGAAACGCACTAAATATGCGGGGAAAAATAATATCTATAACGAGGGATAAATTTGGTGATAGGCTTTCATATTCATCATCGCTTGACACTTCTTTAAGAATTCGTCAGGCAGTTTTGTGTTTTGGATATTTTCGGGTGCCCCGCATGAGCCATCCATCACACCCTGCATTGAAGGAGAATACATCACGTTTATTTATCCATCCATATTGGTATTGAAATATGTGAGTTTCTTTTCAAAACGACGAGTTTATGTTTAGTGAATATAGAATATTAGCCTATTATTATTATTGCAAATCTAAATTTTGACATTTTTTACAATTTTTATGAAAAAAACGGAAGAAATTTCTTCTTTTCTGCCAAAATGTTGTTTGATCATATTTCGTCATTAAAACTTTACCTCTTTTCATAGTCTGACGGAGATTAGTGACACTTTTTACATTTTTAATGGCCGGTAATTACGTGCTCTTCGTATATTACTAAACTTTACAAAACTTGTAAATAAGGACGATCCTGATGGATAGCTGGATTTTATTTGATTTATTTGCGTTTGCATGGAGAGCTATTGTGTTGTAGGATGAAAATTAATTAAAATATGCGCACCGTATTAAAGGATCATTAGCGATGTGCAAGTTGCCGCAATTTATGTGTGGGATATTTGTAATTATCCCATCGGAAAGTGCATTAAAAATATTATCGTATCGGAATAAAATTTTAATCGACGAGTTGAAACTCGCCACGCTTTCGATCGAAACTTTTAAATTGCTATTATGCGCACGGTGTGGTCATAAATTCAAAGTTTGCCAACCAGGTAAAAGTACTTAGTGTGTGCGAGAGGGTAAAATGGATTTTTATATCAAGTTTTTATGCGCAAACTTTCAATGAAATCAGTTTGCAATTGGCGAAAAAATCGAACATATTCGGAAATAACTTGCAGTCGCGAGTTTTATTTGATTATTTTCCTAAATTTGGCACACAAACAACGAGCCAATATCGGAATTACTTGGCGCGAGCCAAACTAATCAATGAACGCAAAGCGTCTGCATTCTGCGCGATAAATTTCGGAAAATTTTATTGCAAATAAAGAAAATAATAAGGAAAGTGTGTGCATGCGCATAAATGTGCACACAGCGTGTGACATGTTTGAAAGTTTGCTGAAAAATAGTCCCGTCCGGGTAGTGAGTGCGCGATATTATATGTCGCCGTGCGTGCAACTTTTATTTCAAGCTTTTAAGCACATCTTGCAGCTGCCGGAGCAGCGAGACTTACAAGCGAGGTTAAAAAAGCATTTGCCGCCCGGGGCCGCGAGGTGTGGGAGGGTGTTGATGAATTGAGTTTCGCTGAGAGAGGAGCGCAGCACTTTTGCTGTAAATACCGTAAATATTCGGCCGTAGAGCGGCAACTTTTGTGCACGAGGGGTGGTTGGTAGTGGTATACCAGTACCCGCTGCCCATGGGGTGGCTGCCAGCGGCGGCAGCGCGAAGATGGGAATAAGAGTAAGAGGCTTTTTGGGAATGCTTCGTCCAGCACTTACACTTCTTTTATATTGCCATCCGTACTTTTGCTAACAGCTCGCGTTGCGTTACGTTAATTGGGTCAACAGAGTGTTTCCGAAAGATAACACTCTGATTATTAAACCTTTGGAGGACATTGCCAACATTATTATAAACTTGCTAAAGTGCAAAAAATTAAAATTAAATGATAACTTATGTTGTAAAATTAATTTTTAGTTGGTTTGTTTATTTGTGACGCTTTCACAGGAAAACCACCGAACAAATTTTGGCAAATTTTGCTATAGAGATATTTTTGACCTAGGAAAATAAAATAAGCTACTTTTTGTTGCAAAAATTAATCTTTTAGGGTTTAAAATAACCGATTAAAGTTTGTATGGTAAATAAATCGTAGTTATAGTTATATAACTCGAATTGAGATGGCGCATTATTACAATTTTTCTTTTCTTTGCATTTAAATCAAGTATTTCATTGACAAAATCGGCAAGAAATAAGCAAAATGCATGAGAAAAGCCATTTACTAATAAAGTTTACAAAATGTGATTTATATTAGTGTTGATTCGTCACTTTGTGATGCAATAACAATGTGCATGATTTCGAAATCATAAACGCATGCAATTGGTGTTTGCGGGTCACTTTGGCAGTTAACGCGATAATAGACGAGTTCTCTTATCATTCACTGTGTTGAAAATAGCGTTTCTAGCATCACATGAATCATAAACAAATTTCATATTCCAAATTTGTTTATTTTCATCTGAAAATTAAATTTTCATATCTTATTAGGCAATAACCGTGCGATCGCTCTAAATCACTCCAGGTAATTCTAATTAACGTGTTGTAATTTAATTAATCCGCCACGACTAATGCGTGTGCGGTTTGTGTGAATTGTATATACGCATATTAATCCAATGATGTTCTGCTAATACTTATTTACACCTGATTTTATCTGCTTACGTGCGTAATACCTGATTATTCGCTCATTACTTAGAATTAATTAATTATTCACGTATTGTGTGTGTGTCAGCGCCTGATTTGTGCCGTGATGCTTGAAATCACTACATTTTGGTGTAGTGCTTTTACTGAAATTAAGTTTTAAAGTAAAAAAGCATACAACTTTGTTGACATTGATTAATGAGCACATTTCGATTTGTAATCAGATTAATAAAACAAAAAAGAGGAGACGAATAGACGAGCGCACCCGCCGAACAAAGAATCAAAGAACTGCGACTTGCTTTCGATTCTGACTTCCTGCGCTCATTGTTGGAGTTTAGTTAAAAGTCGTGGGTGGATGGGCGTTGCGCTCTGCACAAGATAAGCAAAGATGATTGAAGAAGAAAATTTAATTTCCTGTCGAAATCAGTTGCAATCGCCGCGCCTCGTCGTCGACAATCAATCATGTGAAATAATATTAATATAGCGCATAATACAAATGCTCCGGATAGAAAATAGCGAATGCAAGCGGAAGCTACGAAAGCGTAGTGAATAAATATCCTTTTATGTTGACAAAGGCTTTTAGGGAATTAACTAAACGCAAAAGGCTACAAAATACTTTTAAGAAAGTAAATACTAGAGATGTGTGGGTATAATTTTAGCCAAATAACCGAATATTCGGCCTGGAAAAGGAGAATACGTGACTAAATTACTTTAGTCACGGCCTTGGCCGTCCGTGTATAAATTACCACCTTTTGAATCTCATACTCGTGTAAAAACTGGCGCTTTAAAGATAAAAATAGAAAAAAGTTTTTTAAATTTGATTTTATTTTTTGCTAATTTATTACTTGAACCGGAAGCAAATTTAATTTAAATATTTATTAACCCAATAATAAATAATTTCGGGTGAGTGGCCGAATTGCAGTTTAGATTAAAACATTTGCTCCATGCGGAGGTGTTGAAATGTGAAATTTATTAAAAATTCCATTAACCATTAAATTATTTAGCGCGGCGTAGTTCGTTTAGTTTTAGTACACCACCATTTTAAAATAATTATTATATATTTATGCTGTGCTTGACTGCACAGCGCATTCAAACATGCGCTCGTATTTGAACTTTTATTTTCATCAAATAATTTTAACAAAATTGCCGCATTATACGATTAATAATACAGTTTTTAACTTATTAAAAACTTAAACATACTAGTTTATTTCACAAGGCTACAAATAAAAGTAAAAAATAAAATATTTTTTAATTTGGAAAGTAGAGTCATTGACATTTTCCATTTTAACAGTTTACTTTGTTATTATAAGCTTGTTAACAATTTGTGTGCGGAAAAGCCAGCGGAAGGCAAACGAAAGCTAAGACGTATAAAAGACGAACGAATGTGAAACGGTTTCAATTTCGGGCTTTTCCAGTTTTACGGTTTTGCGATGCTTTCGCAAGTGGGATGGATACAATCGCGTTCGCGCATTACTCGCCAGCGAACGCAAAAAGAAATTTAATAAATTTTATTATTGCGTAACCAGCATGCGTCGAATGGCTTTAATAAGTGGGTATTGAATCTGCAAACGAGGCAGAAACCCACTGAATGAAATGTTTGCCAAAGAATTGCGAGAAAAATTTAATATGCACGAAATACTTGCGGATAGATTTTGGATATTCATGTAAATAAATTAATATTTCACAAATTGAAAATCATAAAATCTTTTTTCAAAACAAATTATTTTTTATTTAAATAATTAATGTTCTATCAATTTTATAGTTTTTCTTTGTCCAC